ACCAAATTTCCATCATCTCCGATGGAGCCAAAATTTCACCATTTTTTGGCTTTGGGGTGTGATGGAATAAATCAAAATGGATCTCTAAACTGTCTGCGCTTCTTTAATTAATGAAGTAGCAGTTAGTCAAGCAATGCAACTTTCGACGTTGAGCCGGGGGTCTCTTTGGAAACAGCCTCTCTACTTTCGAGTAGGGGCAAGGTCTGCGTACACACACCCTCCCAAGACCCTACTCTTGTGGGATTTAACTGGGTTGTTGTTGTTGTTTGTTGGATATATGCACCAAAGCATAGTAACCTTATTTTCAATCACTTTCATTGAATGACTATTGAGACATAATGACATAAAAAGTAGAAATCAAGTGATATGGATTCTATCACATACTCCCTCCGGTCCTAAAAACATGAGGTGTTTTGATTTTGAAGAGATTTAAGGGGAGTGTATTTTGGTATTGAAATTCCAAAAATGTCCTTTGATGTGATGGGTAAAAGTAGATTTGATGGATAAGTTATTAGAAAAAAGGTATGATGTGATAAGTAGGGTATGAAAAAGTAAAGGGTAAAAGTGACTTTTTAATAGAAATAAGAAGTGTTTTTTGGGAGGGATGAAAAAAGAAACATCCCATGTTTTTAGGACCGGGAATATTAATCTTTGTCAACCTCATTTCAATATGGAATATATAAATCATGAAACAGAAACATTGAATTACCTAACTGTTTAATTTGAAATTGAGCCAATATCACAGCTGGGACATAAGCTTCTAGAGGTTCAAGCTTTTTCCTAAGCCAATAAGATACTGGTGAGAGTAGCTAAATGATGGGTATAGAGACAAAGAAACAAGTCATTGAACAAGCATCCAAATGTACCAAGATAACACCACATATGAATTTACAAAGTTTCTTGTGATAAATCCAACAAAGGGACAACATTAGAGAATTTCCATGAACACCACATCATGAAATAATAGTTTTATACTAGGAACATGTACAAGAAAGAGAAGAGTAACACTCGGTAAGTCAAAGTACATTCATCAACAAATTCCATTCTAAAAGGCCAACCCAAAACGATTATTATTCCAAGCTACTATATTTCAGTTTGGGTTTATATACTCAACCGATGTAGGGCAACTTTCCAGATTCGAAATGCTGAAAATGAGATTCATATTTCATACCAAGATATTGATATAATTCTCAAGATCACGCATCACACAGATTTAGGAAAAGAACATGCAACACATGTCGGGCCTGCGTGTACCCTCACCACAAACCCGCATTAGTATGATATTGTCCCCAAAACATCATCCTAATGGGTTGGGTTGAACCTATTTATTTAGGTCCAATATTTTTTTCTCAACCGATGTGGGACTTGGGATACCTTTCCCAACACCAATCAGTAATAGGCAAAAGCTTGTTTAATAACCCAACCAGTCTCAATACATGCCCACATATCAATGGCATAAATCAGAACTGCTTTAGAATACTCCCATCATGTTTTCATTCTTTAGCTTGTCCACACTACATCAAAATCTGCGTTTAGATTCAGTTTTCAAAAATCAATAAAATATGTGCAGCACAATTTCCTCAATCCTCCCCTTACCTTTTCACATAGTTGTCGAAAATGCTGCCGCCTACTGCCTCTGCAATGCCACAAAGTTTTCATCAAGCTTCTCATATTCTCATGAATCCATTTTCAATCATTTCATTCAAATTTAAAAGCAAAAGAGAAGTAAAATTCACGGGATTTCTCTAACACCCAAACACGGCCAGTTCTCTGCCCAATGCGCCTCCAAATCAAAATTAGGTTTCTCGTAAATTGAGAAGAAGGGGTACCTTTCGGCACTGATAACCAGTAAAAAAGCGCGGCGAGAGAGATGGAGACCAGCCTCCTGCTCTCCCGCCTTTCCTCGGATACCAGTGCGCAAATCAATCTCAAACTCCGCCGCTGCACTTTCGCCGGAAGCAAGCTCGCAAATTGCGAGCTGTAAACGCGGGAACCTGGACGGCAGCAGCTTACTTGCGGGGGGGAGAACGCCGCCGACATCTCGCCGGAATGTTGTTCTAGGAAGGGAAAAGAAGAATAGCCCTTATCCAACTCTGTTGTTTCTCCACCTGGGAGTTCATGCTTCTGTTCCCCGTTAAAATGAATGATAAAAATAATTAAATAAAATTTATAACCGGAAAATGAAATAAGAAAATTAACTTAAACAAAATACATAATCTTTAAATAAAATAAATTGAGAATACTCAAAACAAAATTTGACTTTGGTACAAATTGCAAACCATTTTGGGATATTTACGCGGATAAAATAATGAATAATACTAAGATGTCACTATATGGGTGATACTATGAGTGTCAGTGTCAGTGTTTGTCTCTGCCAAGCATTAGTGCACCATGGTAGCATCCATGCGGTGATCTTAAAATAATTTCAAACTGGTCCAAGAAAAGGGTGTCTAGACCGTTGATCCTAAAGTCGAATCCCGGCAGCAATAATGTGAGAGTGTATTATTTGCAATAGCTTTTTGTATGCATCGGACACGAGACAACTCCTCTAAAACTCATAATTATACCACTATTTACCCCTCACAATTTTGTCTAACCTGGAGTGTGGGGGCTTCGGAGGTGGGCTTTTCAATCTAAAATAATTTTTCAAACGGTTGCTTTCTCTTTGGGTAAAGCGTCATCAGATCTACAGGGGACGGGGACTCGCGAACAACCCACAGCTACCAAACGCCTTTTTTCCATCTCTCTGTAGTCTCTCAAAACAAGCTTCGGAAATGGCGTCGGTCAAGTGGTTTCTTCTCTGCATTTTCTTCACCGCCGCTTCTGCTGCTAATGTTCAAAGTGAGCTAATTTTTTCCTTCACTCTCCTTTGAATTTCTCAAAATTGCTCTTTTCCCTGCTAGTGAATGGTCCTGTTATGCTTTTTGGTTCTTTCTACTTCATTCAATGGTGAACTATGAACACTGGATCTGATCTTTGACATTTTCCAACCCTTAATTACCTAACTCAATGTAGTTATGGAACTGCAAGTCTATATGGTATCAGAACCACCTGCTAATTCAAACCCAAATTAGTAATTTTGGTTTTTGGAGTTTTTAGATCTCACATTAGATTGAGGGGCATCTTCAGACAGTAGGGTAGATGAGTTCAAAAGATCCTTGTGTTTACCCTACACATTCTTATTGACATTATTGGTGTTTGCTTAAAATTCCTAGGTGAAGCCTGCGTTTAAGACGAGTTCTTGACGTGATGTAATTTCTTGATCGAGTTTGATTGCCCTTAAAGGCTGTCAAAGCGTTGGGTCGGGTTGGGTTCGGTTTTTGGTGCTTTTGTGTTCGAAGCATTTTGATTTCTAGATGTTTTAGATTGAGGTTGGATGGTACTTGTTTCTGACCCAGAGTGTTCGCGTTCTTGTTTAGGCTCACAATCAGCGATAACAAAGTTGTTATAGTGTTTTCTTTCGTCGTTTTGCGTTCTTGTTTAGGCTCCCAATGGGCGATAACAAAGTTGTTATAGTGTTTTCTTTCGTCGTTCTAATTATATGTCAAGAACCAACTCATACAAAAGTTTATGCGGTTGTAGGCCTCGAAAATAAGTTATACGGAGTATACTCTAAGACAACCCATCACGTACAAACGAGTTTTGTTCTTGTTCGAGCCTTGCACGTGAACATTAGATTTTTTCTAAAATTGGATAACGGTAAGATTTGAACTTGTGGGCTCTAGGAATACATTGTGAAGGAACTAACTCAACCAAAGAAGTTCAAGCTTGTGGTTGTAGTTGGCACGTGAACGATTTTATAACTGTATTTCAATTTTCACTAGTTTTAAAGGCTATTGTTAAACTACAATAGAGAAATACAATTTTAAAATACATAAAAGTATAATGTTGAGAAGACTAAAATAACAGAACTTATTGTGGTGATCTAAAACTATTATGAATCCTTTGTTTTCCTGATGGGAATGCAGTTGTTAGAGTGACAGATAACCCTGCTGATCAGCTGGTAGATGTGCTGAACAAGAACAGGACCTCAAAGAAATTGCCTTCACTATACAGCAATCCTGGCCTGGCATGCATTGCCCTACAATACATAAAAGCCTATCAAGGCGACTGCAAGGCCGTCGGCGGAGGCTGGGACTCAAAGAAGCCTCCGGAATCCGCGTTCCCCGACACATTTTCCCCGGCCTGTGGCGTGGACGCGAAGACCCTCTCCAAAATAACGGGCCGTTTCCTCGGGTGCCAGTCCGAGTACGTGGGCCCCACGCGCGCATTCTCGGACATCCTCATCAGAAGCCAGAAGAGCTTTGATATCCTCTACAGCAAGAACCACACCGAGGTCGGGGCTGCCGTGAGTGGCTCGGATGGTGGGGGCCCGTATTTCTGGTGCGTACTGTTCAGCAACGGGAAGTCGAATGCGAGCTTCGTGTTTGAGGGGGGCGTGGCGAAGGCGTCGAAGCCCGGATGCTACAGTGGGGCCAACGACGAATGCAGCGCGGCTAATGCCTTGTCTGGAACCTGGCTTGTTTCTGGTGGAGCTTTGCTTGCCATCTTCTTCTATGCTTTTGGATCCATATGATCGATATTCCATTTCCACTTCATTTTGGGCACTTTTTTTTGTTCTTTGGGAATGCTCTCTCTGTATGACCAAATTCTGTCACGCGCAAAAGATCTCGTCCTTTAGACTCGTTGACTGTGTTGACCAGATCAAGAGGCTGCGATCCTCTGCGCTTGACAGAATTGGTCAAACGGACTTGATGAGAATATTCCTCCTATTTCATTCAAGTCTTTTATTTGTAAAGAAGGATTACTCCTATTTATGTATCTCTATATTATTTTTGAATGCTATTCTCTCTTACAAAGTAGAATATGTTCATGTTACTGTCCCGTGGCGGAGGCTTTGTGGGTCAAGTCACAATCAAATGTCGTGGGCGTCTGTATTTGCTGAATGCACTATAAGACTAGGGTATGCGCTTCTTCTAACTCCAATTGGTTTTCGAAGAATAGGTAGGGCTTCCAGTTCATATTATTCTCAATCTAACGACATACAAAGAGTCAATATCTTCACTGGAACTCGAACATAGGTGAACTTTCCCATGAATCTTGGGGAGTGAGTTTTCAGGGGGAGAAGTTCATGTATCTCCATATTGGTTTGGTTAAATACCATTGTTAATCAATTATAGGCTTTAGCAAGATTATATCATTTTCACCTTTAATTCACTTCATTCAATTTTTCCTTCATGGTTACCTTCACGCGTGATGTTCTTTCCACATTTAGCTGTATATTCTTCATCAAGATTGAAGAATATGGGAGACAAGAAAAGAAACTTTTTTTTTGAGAAAATAGAAACTTCATGAAACTAAACTAATCAATTAAGGTTCTTGACACTTAATTGCTTCATGTTTTAAAGAAATATTCCCCTGCCTTGCAAAAGGGTTTTATATAAGTTTATAAAGTTTGATTAAAGTTGTTTTTAGTTCAATTTATTTGATAAATAATGTAGAGCATAAAATATGTAGTAATTATATATTTAAAAAATTACATTTACTTGAAGTCATGATGAATTCTTTATGGTTATTATATAAAATTACATTTTTTTAATTATATACTAGTATTTAAAAATTACATGTAAAATATGGAGTAAAATTTCATTTCTTCTCTCATGATGAATTCTTTATAGTTATCAAACTTATCATTCACGAAATCAAATTATTTTCTTCGAGACAAACATCGCCAATTGTGGTGTAAAAAAATCCATACGACGGAAGCCATATAGAACAAGAAATGACATGATTATTTTATTTTAGAGACAATTCACATGAGTACTCAAAGAAATGGGGGATGTAACGGTAATATATCGAAATTCAATAATTGATGTCACTGCTCCCAGAAATTATTCATTTTTACATTGTTACTTCATGCTGCAAAGTGCCAACTAAGCTAAATATGTTACACTTTAAATGTTCACCAAGCAATTATAAGTATGAGTTGATAACTGATAAAAAAATACTCCCTTTGTCCAAAAAAGAATGTCCCTTTTCATTATTCAAAAATCATAGGAAGTTTTTTTATTTGTGCATTTTCATTGATTATTTAATAAAATAAAAAATTAATTGATTAACTAGAACCCTCCTCCCCCATTTCAAAAATATAATATTAAATTACGATAAACTTAAAAAATCAAATGCATTTATATTGTACTCAGTAATAGATAAAATTGTGAATAATGTTTTAGAAAAAATTAGAAAATTTTAAAAAGAGAAGTCCAATTATATATGTTGTGAAAGGATGAAAGTTATGGATATCAAACTATGATCATTTTTAAAGTATAAAAAAGTGGGAAATAAAACCAAACTAGTTAGACAATTATTTAAAAAAATAAAATGATCAGAAAGAATCATAAAAACACTTTGGTATATATCTTATCAAACTTCCATCCGTTTATTTTAAATTTTTCATTCTTATCATTCCGGTTATTCAAATATTTGTCAAACCAATTCATTTTTATTTTTTTTGCTTTCAAAACTGTTATACGGAGTATAACTTTAAATATGTAGCTCTGAAACTTTCAAACGGAGTATATACCATTGAATTTTTTCCTATCAATCAAACGAATATAATTTTAATTATAAAATATTAGATTTTAAAAATATTTTTTTGTCTAAAAGTCACACTATTCATAATTTATGTGATTAAAATATAAACTCATTTAAGTTTTTCAATGTTGCCACGTTACTAGTTCCTAATTTTTATTCATTGATTCTTAGGACCAGAGTATGAAGACGGGACCAACTGATTCTGTAAAATACTACCACTCCGTAGAATCTCTATCAAGAAGGAATCAAACTCAAATCACACCTAAATCCATTCCAAGTCCTTCACTTTCTATCAGATTCAGCAACCAAAATCCCCTCAACAGAGTTCTTCAATGGCGTCTTCATTTGTTCCCTTCCTTGTGACGACCTTGTGCGCTCACAGATCTTCCAAGTGCCGCATCTCGACTTATCCTCTCCAGCATCCTCTGCAAATCCATCTTCTTCGCCCATATAATCGACGATTCAGTGACAGGACTAATTTCAAGAGCTTTCTGTTCTTCGGCCCTTTGGCTTGCCAGCAAAAGCTCAGACCGGTTGCCGCGAGGGATCCGGATGTACCTGGGAACATTGATCAGGTATTATGTCACCTTTTGCTTTCAACTCAGCTTTGATAACAGTTGTATGTTTTAGTCTTTAGTTATCAACTGTGTCCAGGTCTCATGGAGTCTGAGTGTCAATAGTTGATTTTTTATTTCGTCAATGGTGGAATGGTTGAAAACTTGAAATTGTGTTTTTCAATCAGCAGTTTGCCGGTGTTGATCTAACAGCCAAGTTCAGGAAACACATTCTGTATTGTGGAAGCGCAATGAGATGAGTTTCATCGATGTTGAATTAGAATTAATTGGTAAACCATGAAATACATTAGAAGATGGTAAAATACCTTATAGGACTTAGATTTAATTGAAATGAGACAGACTTGATAATGAAAGATTATATCTGGAGCTATCATTGATCCCATGGGTAAAATGTAGTAAAAATATTAGTTGATGTCTAAATCCGGATGTGCCACTATAGTGAAGGACATAATCTGTAATTGACTCACTTTGTAACCTATATGAAGTTATGAACTAAGTCCTAAATGCGAATACCATTTTTGACACCTAAAATGGGAAATGAATTATCACTTTCATCATCATTATATTTGCACCTTATCTTGCATTTTATGAACCAATCAAGTGTCATTGTATCATATAAATTATGATTTAACCAGTGATGACAAATGCAGGGATCGTATGACTTGCAAAATAGTGATAAATTTAAGCAGTGGGATTCATTAACCGCAAAGTTTGCTGGAGCTGCAAATGTACCATTTTTAGTGTTGCAACTTCCTCAAATCATACTGAATGCTCGTAATATTATTGCAAGGAATAATTCTGCGTTGTTTGCTGTTCCCTGGCTGGTAATTCTCTCTCCACTCATCATCATATTCATAACCCTCTACGTATATGAAAAGGTGAGATTTGTTTAAGGCTGATGATAATAGTGCTACAGGGGATGCTCACTGGATTGCTAGGGAATTTGTCTTTACTATCATACTTCATAAAGAAGAGGGAAAAGGAAGCGGCAGTGGTGCAGGCATTAGGAGTTGTGTCAAGTTATGTAGTGATCTCACAGCTTGCTGTGGCTGGAGCTATGCCTTTTCCTCATTTTGTGGCCACATCATTCATTGTTGCTTGCGGTCTTATTATAAATTCTATGAATTACTTTCACTTGCTGAACCCTGGAATATGGCACTATTGGGAAGACTTTATAACCATTGCAGGTCTCTCCACACTTCCACAAGTAATTCATCGAGTCTCATTTTTTACACGTCTGACCTACTACATTTTTATGGCTTGTCTTCCTTCAACTGTGAGTGACTATGTACAGGTCATGTGGTCAACCTTCCTCCCATTGGTTCCAAACACAATCTTGCCAGGTGGAATATCTTTTGTAGTTGCAGTGACAGTTGTGCTTATGGTAATCATTAATGACTTTATGCTGATAAGTTTAGAATGAGGAGATCATACTCTCCTTGTATTTCTTATTTTCCATGAATATCTTGACTGATAGTCAAAATAGCAAACAATTCACCCCCAAATGTGGGAAGTAGTGTGCTTTCGTTAATTGAAGTTTAGAATGTGGTGTATCTATCTTACTCGTGAAGTCGTGACAGAAGAGATAATGACACAGGTCTCATTTTTGTGATGTCTTCCATTTTCCAATTTCCATGTTCTGGATTGATGGAGGATAGACATCGTTGCCTCATTTCT